TTTTCTTCTCGGCTACACCCAATCTATCTCCAACCTTCGTCTGCACGATCAGCTATCAAACACCCTGTATATGTATGTGTATATATCAGGTGTAGTAAAAAGAAATCCATTATTTTTGCATGAAATTGAAGGCTTTAATTACCATAGTTAGAATGATCCGATTTAGGTCAAATATGCGCCGTTTTGTTCGATAACTTGTTGCCATTTTGAAGGTAATTTCATTATGCTTCTCTCATAGAAGCCCTCGTCCCTATTGGCAAAAAATTGAGACAGTCGTTTTTCACAAGCCTCTCTTGAAGCAAATTTTTCACCAGCAAAATTGTTCGCCATGGACAGGAACAGATGGTAATCACTTGGTGCCAGGTCCGGACTATAAGGTGGATGCATAAGAACCTCCCAACCAAGCTCCCGGAGCTTCTGGCGAGTCACTATCGATGTGTGTGGCCTGGCGTTGTCCTGATGGAACACAATTCCTCTCCTATTGGCCAAAGCTGGCCGCTTCTGGGCGATTGCTTCCTTCAGACGGTCCAATTGTTGACAGTGCAGTTCCGAGTTAAGAGTTTTGCCGTAGGGGAGCAGCTCATAGTAGATAATTCCCTGCCAATCCCACCAAACACACAGCAAAACCTTCCTGGCTGTCAATCCTGGCTTGGCCACCGTTTCCGCCGGCTCACCGCGATTCGACCACGACCGTTTTCGCTTGACGTTGTCGTAAGTGATCCACTTTTCATCACCAGTGACCAACCGCTTCAGAAATGGGTCGATTTTGTTGCGATTCAGCAGCGATTCGCAGATGGAAATTCGGTCCATGAGGTTTTTTTTCGTTAACTCGTGTGGCACCCATACATCGAGCTTCTTTTTGTATCCAGCCTTATTCAAATGGTTCCAAACGGTTTTTTGTGCAATCTTTAGCTCTTGGGCAATCGAAACAGTGCTTACATGACGGTCGGACTCGACAATGTCCATGATTTTATCGATATTTTCGACAATTGGCCTTCTAGTGCGTGGTGCATCTTTGACATCGAAATTACCGGAACGGAATCGACGAAACCAAAATTGCGCGCGATTGGCTGTTACAGTATCAGGACCATAAACACTATTCACATTTTCAGCCGCCTGGCTTGCGTTTTCGCTTTTATCGAAGAAAAACTGTAAAATATAGCGTATTTTCTCTTTGCTAGTGTCCATCTTTGACACGCGCTCAAACAAAACTGAGTCAACTAATTACAAAACTGTCACAAAAGTTTTCTTAGTACGAAATCTCATCTTTCTAACGCCATCTAGTGGAACTCGATCGGACTTATACAACGCGAGATACAGATAACTAAAGCCATCTATTGGAAAAATAATGGATTTCTTTTTACTACACCTAATATATACATGGTGTCCCATTTTAATCCATCCGGCTGAATAAAATTCGATATTTTTCAGAAATAAATGTCAGACAAATGTTGCTCAGTTCTAAGGGGGACATTCGATACCATCAACAATTTTGACCTCGGGTGAAGGGTTCAAGGTCATTCAAGGTCAACTTTTTTTTCTTAAATGGGAACTCCTATTTTTCACATCGGCAATCGATTCTACGTAAAAGAAAATGAAACTTTTGTCTGAAGCATTTTTTTGATAACGCAAACTAATTTCACTTATTCATCCTCCAAAATTGAAATTTTCAAACTTTCTGAATTTTTTACTCGAGAATGGTGGGGTTTGGGGGGAAATTGCAGAAGACAAAAAGTTCTTGAAATGCTGCAAGGAATTCACTCGAATTTTCGCATAGTTGATCGTGCATTTTTTTCGAGGTACCTCCTGACAGGTAGAACATTGGCGGAAAAAAGTGCACGATCAACTATGCGAAAATTCGAGTGAATTCCTTGCAGCATTCCAAGAACTTTTTGTCTTCTGCAATTTCCCCCCAGACCCCACCATTCTCGAGTAAAAAATTCAGAAAGTTTGAAAATTTCAATTTTGGAGGACGAATAAGTGAAATTAGTTTGTGTTATAAAAAAATGCTTCAGACAAAAGTTTCATTTTCTTTTACGTAGAATCGATTGCCGATGTGAAAAATAGGGGTTCCCATTTAAGAAAAAAAAATTGACCTTGAATGACCTTGAACCCTTCATCCTAGGTCAAAATTGTTGATGGTATCGAGTGTCCCCATTAGAACTGAGCAACATTTGTCTGACATTTTTTTCTGGAAAATATCATCCTCGAATTTTATTCAGCCGGCCGGATTAAAATGGGACACCCTGTATATATATATATATATTTATATATATATATGTATGTGTATATAAAACACATAAACATATATATTTTAAAGCGATTATTAAGGGAGGAAAAAATTATAATTATAATAAAACACGAGGGTACGCTCCAGTTGACATCTTACGTAGCAACGGGCCTAAGCGATCCGCGATTGTCGCCTCGGCCGCTGAACGCGGAGCGGTGCAAAGGAAACGGTAGGTGTCACCGCTTGAAATCCGGCCGAAAAGGGCACTTAGTCCCCAGCTCTGGTTTAGACGATTCAAAAGTGGTGATTTTGTCTTGAAAGACAAAGAACGTCCAGGTCAACCGAAAAAATTTCAAAATGCCGAATTGCAAGCATTGTTGGACGAAGACGATACGCAAACTCAACAACAAATAGCAGAGAGGTTAAATGTTGGTCGCCGAACCATTTGTGATCGTCTGCATGCCATGAGAAAGATCCAGAAAGCAGGAAAATGGGTACCACATCAGTTGAATGACAGACAAATGGAAAGCGAAAAACGGCGTGCGAAGTTTTGCTTTCTCGGTATAAAAGAAAGTCTTTTTTGCATCGGATTGTGACTGGAGACGAAAAATGGATATATTTCGAGAACCCAAAACTCAGAAAATTATGCGTTGACCCAAGACAATCATCAACATCGACCGCAAGACCGAATCGCTTTGGAAAGAAGACAATGCTGTGCATTTGGTGGGATCAGAAAAATGTCATGTACCATGAGCTTCTGAAACTAGGTGAAACAGTTGATACCGTTCGATACCGTCAATAAATGATCAATTTGAACCATGCATTGATCGAAAAGCGACCAGAACGAGCTACAAGACACGGAAAAGTAATTTTGTAGCACGACAACGCCCCATCACACACAGCGAAAGCGGTCAAAAAAACCATTTCTACACTTGGCTAGGAACTCTTGACCCACCCGTCGTATTCAGCAGACTTGGCCCCTTCCGACTACCACTTATTTTCATCGATGTCTCATGCACTCTCCATGAAACATTTCAACAATTACGGAGATGTCGAAAAATGGCTTGATGATTGGACCACCTCAAAAGATGTACGGTTTTTCTGGGAGGGCATCCACAAATTGCCAGAGAGATGGGAAAAATGTGTAACTAGCGATAGCGCATACTTTGAATAAACCATTTTTTACCTTTCTCCCAATTTAAACGTGTTTTTTAGAAAAAATTAAGAATTATTAACCGCCACACCTGGTATATGTATTTAATTTTTCACAATTAATATATTAAATATTCTAAAATAAAATAAATATGTAAAATTATAATTTTTTCTATTATTTTAAAAAATGTTAAGTACATTTGTAACATAAAATATGTTTAGCCAACTATCTCACAATGCTATAGCCCTCTTATCCTTAAAAGTTTGTAAGATGGTCAATGCTTGTTTTAATATTTTGATAATGTAATATTTCTAGTAAGCATTTTCTCCTTAATTTCGATAGTATTACGTACTTTAAACTTCAATGAAGTAATGTGCCAAACGCTATTAAAAAAAACCGAAATAAACATGCTTTTTGCATTTTAAGAAACTATGGCCATCTTACCCGAGTTTACCCTATACATATATCATATCTATAACATTCACTCTCATGCATTTTACGGTCTTGCTAATACATACTGAAACATATGATTTCTCCCCCTATTAATGTTACATGTTTCAAAATTGGTAGCGAATATGTCGACGTGAATATACCGCTGCGAAAATCGATATACTATGGTGGCACGCATTGGTAAGATTCGAGACTAGCTAGCGGACGGTAGACAATTACAATAATTGCACCTTGTAACAGAGGATACAATGAAATTACGTATCTGTGATATGGAGATGGTCTTTTGCCGTCAGCCGAGACTGGACAATTTTTCATGATATATTTCGAGGGCGCGTTTAAATAAAATATCTTATAATTGACGTGCGATTGAAAAGACATCGACGAAGTAATCTATTGATGAAAGAACATAGGGGTTTTTCTTTCGCAATTACTTTTATTTTCCGTACTCTGTACTTTTTTCCATAAGAATTACTTGGTATTAAGTAATTTTATAATAAAGATCTCTGATACAATGATACAATGATATGGAAAGATACAATGATTGATACATAGACGTATAAAAGTTATTTCGCATCGAAGGACACAGTGTCGTAAGTTTCATAAAAGTAATAAAATAACGTTATATCCGAAGAGAAAGTTTGGATAGAAACGATTCAACTGTTGTTAGATAGTTGGAGAAACCTATAGATATATTCCGAGCTTTCCATTCTCTCATAAATATTCTGCTTAATTTCGCTTAATATATGGACGTTAACGTTTGAAATTTCATGTATATATTGTGGCTTTCTGTTATTCTTTACTTAATAATGACATATGTTCGACATTGTCGTGGGGGAACATGCGAATATTTTAAAAAGAATGCAGTTGTAGCTGGTCTGAATCCGGATAAACAAGTATTTAAAATAGTTGAGTGCTCCTTGCATCTTTTCAAATCTTACTGCGTTTAATTATTCGACAGCTTAAACTTCGCTTTCTGATTTATTTTCTGCGTTTTATCATATTATCTTAAACAGACCAAATCAATGAAAAACATATATATATATATCTACATAATTTAATCAATATTTTATTAAGGTGTGTTTAATTAATGAATTTAATCGATAATTTTGATAAATAATTTAATCAAGAATTAATGAATAATTAAGGTGTATTTAATATCAAGTTTAATACTAAGTTAATATTAAGATTAGTCAATAATTAAGATATGAATCAGCGTCTAATCTTTATGGATATGCACGGTTATTGAAAAGTATTACGTAATTGATAAATTCGGTATATTTAGAAAAATATCAAGTACAATATATAAAAAAGGAATAAGTAAACGCTCGGTGATGCATGTATTAGAATTTACACTATCAATTCTCACAGTCGCCGGAGCTTGGCGACCGCTGTCATGTACGTCGTTAGTGAAAAATGTTATATACAATGCTTACACAATTTTATTGAGTACAGCGGTATTCATGTTTACCACGACTCAATTCATGTATCTAATATTTAACGCTAACAATGCGGACGAAGTAACCGAGACGTTATATGTGGCCCTGCTTGGATTGATTGGAAATTTTAAAATAATCACGATAAATCTCAATCACCAGAGTTTCGCGGCTATGCTCGATAATCTATCAGAGAAACCGTTCAAACCGATGGAACAGAATGAGACGATAATACGAGCAAAGTTTGACAAAATGATTAAGTTAGTATAATATAGCATAAAAATATAAAAAGATATTTTCAATATTTTAGAAATAATAACATTTGAACATTATACAAGGCGTATAAAAAATACCGGAACGGTAAAATATCACAAAAACTAAATATTTTAAAAAAAAGTGTTTCAAATAAAAAATATTTCGAAATATCTATTTACTGACATTATGAGTTTGACTTTGGGTGACGTTGCCAAGGTCAGGACAAGGTCATCTTGAATTTTTTAAATGGGACCTCCTATTTTTTATTACATATCCTATTTTTTATTGCATATTTCTTATAGCCTTTGTTCAGACCTTTTTAAATCACTATAAATTTTTCTATTTTAAGTAAACCGTTTCTAAGTTATCGAGCTTTTTATGATAAGATGTCCAGCCAACCAAGGCAAGATCAAAGAAATATCCAGCTAATCAAGGCGAGATCAAAAAAGTATCTAGTCAGCCAAGGCAAGATCAAAGAAATATCCAGTCAGCCAAGGCAAGATTAAAGAAATATCCAGTCAGCCAAGGCAACATCAAAGAAATATCCAGCCAGCCAAGGCAACATCAAAGAAGTATCCAGCCAGCTAAGGCAAGATATTCATAAAAGAAAACTAGCAATTGAAAGCGCGATTAATGTATCAAATGCTCAAATTGTTCACCATTCATTGTTTGACAATGCGCTAATCGACGATAAAAACCTGAAATAGCATCTTCATTAGATATTCATTAAGTATAAGTGCCGCTTCATCAAGAATCCAATCTCATAGATCATTTAGATTCCGAGGTTTAATTTTGTATACTTCATCTTTTAGATAACCCCAGAGAAAGTAGTAGAGCTGGCCATTCGATCGTGCCTCTCCTCCCTTTCCACCGTTCAGGAAAAATTGTTTCTATTAGGTAAATCGGAAAGTTCCGTCCATCTAGCGGCAAATAGCTATAGTTAGAACTGTCGTTAACTTCTAATGTCTAAACGAAGCTTAATGGTTTGTTTTGACATCTGTCAATAACATTCCGTACAGAAAGGTATATGTTTGCATCAATAACATTGTTTTTACTACATCGAAAATATCGAAATTTAAGCCAAATAAGCGTCATTTGCGCGAAGTGTAAATCTTTCGCTTCAATTGAAAGAAAACTGCAGCTGAAGCTCATCGAATGCTTGTAGAAGTTTATGGTGATGATGCTCCTTTCGATAAAATATGCAGAGAATGGTTTCGACACTTTAAAAGTGGTAATTTTTATTTAGAGGACGAAGAGCGTTTTGGACGCTCAAGAGTATTCGAAGACGAAGAATTGCAGGCATTGATGGACGAAGATCCATGTCAACGCAAAAGCAACTTGCAGGAGCATTAAATTGTGTCCAATCTGTCATTTCCGATCGTTTGAAAGCCTTAAGAAAGGTTTACAAGGAAGGAAAATAGGTCCCATATGAACTGAAGCCAAGAGACATTGAAAGGCGGAAAACCATCTGCGAAATTCTGCTTGCTAGGCAACAAAGAAAGGGGTTTTTATCGTATCATCACTGGGGATGAAAAATAGATTTATTTTGACAATCCCAAACGTCGAAAAACTATTTGCGATTCTGGCCAACCCTCAACATCGACGCCAAAGAGGAATATCCACGGAAAGAAGGCAATGCTTTGTATTTAGTGGGATCAGAAGGGTGTACTGTACCATGAACTGTTGAAAAGTGGTCAAACAGTCACAGAGGATTTCTACAGAGAACAAATGATCCGTTTGAGTTGAGCATTGCACGAAAAACGACTAAAATATGAAACGAGACTAAAATATGAAACGAAAGCATAAAGTGATTTTACTTCATGACAACGTTCGGCCTCACGTCACAAAATCTGTCAAGGAAACGTTAGAAGCACTTCGCTGGGAAGTGTTACCTCATGCGGCTTATTCATCAGACTGTGCCCCTTCCGACTACCACTTATTTCGGTCGATGGCGCACACGCACTTGCTGACGAATGTTTCAATTCTTATGAAAACGTCGAAAAATGGGTCTCTGACTGGATAGCCTCCAAAGATGAGTCATTCTTTCGCCGCGGAATTCGTTTATTGACCGAAAGATGGAAAAAAGTCATCACTAACGATGGACAATATTTTGATTTATGTACTTTTTCATTTTGTTCTAAATAAAGCCATATGTTTTAAAAAAAACGGACGGAACTTTCCGATTGACCTAATAAATAAATACGAACGTTTTGTCTATAGTGCGGAGGTACTCCATCCTGTTGAAACCACATCTGTTGAAAGTTTTCATCAATGATCGCGTTGATTGCAGGGGCGATTTAATTTTTCAGCATGTCTTCATATGAATAGGCTGTCAAGTTGCCTTCAATAAAGAATGGTCCTATCAATCTGTTATTTAATATTCCTGCCCAAATGTACAATTTCTGTGGATATTGTGTATTGTGTTTCCACATCCGAGTGAGAATTCGTTTCTGACCATAATCTGCAATTATGTCAATTATGTCTATTAACAATACCGTTTAATTGAAACGTTATTGCTTCATTTGAGAAGACTATGTTATATAAAAAGTCAGGTTATGCATCTATATTCGCTATCATAGTCTTACAGAACTGAACACGTCGATTAAAGTCGTCTTTGTTCAGCTCATGAACAAATCATACTATATTTCATAAGGGCGAAATTTATTCCTTTTTAATATCTTATGCACAGACATAGGATTCATCTCATGTTCTTGAGCAGTCCTGCGGGCAAAAGTTTTTGGATTCTCTATGAATGATTGTGAAACATCCAATGCCTTTTCTTTATTTGTTGCTGTGGCAGGCCTTTCTGTTTTAAGATAATTTTTAACGCTTCCTGCTTCTTCAAACCGCCTTACAATTCTTTCAACAGTTGATTTCGAAATAGGAGTATTCTCATCTCGAAAAGTTACATTGAAAAGATCCTTTACATCTTGATACAATCTTTATCTATCATCTATCTATCTATCTATCTTTATCTATCATCCCAGCCCTTCATCATCAAGACAGATATCGTGTTCGGTAAGGTATTGCATTTTAATTGATGAAAATTATCGAGGTGGAAATTTTGAAACGAATGAATAACTATCAGTAATACTTCAAAATGAGTAATACTTCAATACAACTAAATAGAGAAAAATGTATAGAAATAAACAAAATAAAAATTGAGGAAATCTTTACAAAGCGTTTGAGAATAATATTAATCTCTAAAAGAAAAAGTAAAGTCTAACGAATAAGCTAGGAAACAAAAAGATTTACCTAATGAACAGAAATTTGTATTAATTAGATAACAAAATCGATAATTCAATTAAGTTAATTTAATTATAAAGAAAAAAAAATTAGTAAGAAAAATCATTTATCTTTTCGGTATGAAACAACGCATATCATGTACGAGTAATGTGTTCTACTTCAAATCAAATTCATTGCAATTGATTTGAAATGATTTGAAGGTGAATTTTAGTGCTTTCTAAATTTAGTATATTAGTATTATTTTAATATTACATGTGTCTGAAATACAAGTTACGAAAGTATTCCAGCCGCTGATTGGACATCTTATCATAAAAAGCTAGATAACTTCGAAAGAGCTTACTCAAAGTGGAAAAGTTGTAGTGATTTGAAAAGGTCTGAAGAAGGGCTACAAGAATATGCAATAAAAAATGAGGGTTAAAAATTTCAAAGTAACCTTGTCCTAACCTTGGCGACGCTACTTAAGGTCAAACTCATAATATCAGTAAATAAATCTTTTGAAACCCTACAATTTTTATTTGAAACATTTTTTTCTAAAATGCTTAGTTTTTGTTATTTCACCGTCCCGGTACTTTTTATACACCTTGTATATTTAACAATAAATTTGTCAAAAACAAGAAATAGAATACAACAGAAAATAATAATTAAATTTTTTTATAGGACTAATGCAATTGTCTATTTAACGCTCATAGTTTTGACTGATATATACATGACTTCGACATCTTTACTTATGGATTTCAGAAGAAGAGACTTAACGTTCAAGGCATGGTTCCCGTTTGATTACTCGGTCTCTGTGATATATTATTTTTTGTACATTCATCAAATGATCAGTGTAACACTATGTGGTTTCTTGAATGTCGCTAGCGATTGCTTTTTCTCCGGACTATTACTCCATATTTGCTGCCAGATAGAGATCTTAGAGTACCGTTTATCAAGGATCGCAAATAATCAAGCTAAACTACGCGAATGCGTGCTTCACCATTACCGCATATTCGAGTAAGTTTTCTGGATACATTAATTAATTTTAAGTGCGCAACGATATTTTATATAACCGTAGATTTGCCGATATGTTGAACGATAAATTGGTAATTGTCATCGGTAGTCAATTCATAGGAGCTTGTTTGGTGGTGTGCTGCCTTCTTCTTCGTTTAACAATATCAACATCCAGCTTCATGTATATTGAAACGGTAATGTGTACAGGTTGCGCGTTAATAGCGATATTCTATTACTGTTGGTTCGGAAATGAAGTCAGATTGAAGGTAATTTTGCGGTTGTGGCTAACGTGAGGAAGAGAGAAGTGATGGGTGTCAATAAGGCCGTTTTTTGAGCCCTCTTCGATTGGTTTGATACTGTGAGAAATTATTACTGTTCACATATCTCACAACCGCCTGAAACGCGTTTTTCGATCGGTCAATTAGAATCGAAGATAGAGCAGTTTGAAGATTCTCGATTTGTTACACTTTAATTCAGACCTCGTCATATTTCTTTAAGATATTAATCAATTTCGGCCGTCAAACTTTTTCAAAAACTATGCATACGTATAATGTTGAATATATGTAAAAGTTGTTGACCTAGCCCTTTAGACTGACCTTGAAAATGTCCTCGTTTGAATAAGACCACTAACATCGTTTTCGCGTACTTTTTTATGTTTCTGAGGATCAAAGTAGCTTTCCGAAATCTTTATAGGCGTGGTATGTAATATACAAAAAAGCATTTCTGCATCATCAATTCACACGCTATGGATATAATATTTCAAGATGTGATCAAGCCAATCAAAAGAGGGCCCAAAAAACTTATTGACACCCATCCTTTAACGAATATAACTTTTTACTTTATATTTGTCTATAGAGTATACAGTTATCGGAAAATATCTATAAAATGGAGTGGCCGGATTTCAATAATGACGTGAAAAAGTGTTTCTTGATTATTATGAATCGTGCCACCTCGTTACCCATCAAATTTACCAGCGCACATATCGTCCCTTTGAATCTCGAGTCTTTTGTGGTGGTCAGTATAATGTATTAATTTAATGATCAATTTAATGAATTTGTTCGCAATAAGTGAGTTAACTTGATATAACGATTGTTGCAGGTGCTTAAAACGTCGTATTCAGTTTTCAATCTAATGCGTCCGACGCAAGAAGAAAAATAACTATTTATTAAAATTACCAGTTTTGGATTACCTTTGTAGAATGAAGATACGAAATTTTCTCCAAAGTGAGACAAATAGAATTAACCGTATGAACTATACTATATGAACTGAAATACCGACTGTATCGTAATTGTAGCTTGTAAAAGCTATGGGTTGTATGTAGATTCGTAGGATATTCATGTTTTATTCACACACTGGTAGAGCTGTAAACAATAGAATCACGGTAACCATTTCAAGCGCTTTGTCATCCTCATGCTTCTCAAAGTATATTTTACTTTATTTATATCTGAGTGATTCTAATTTGTCATGGCATTGTCTGTTATTTATGTTATCTTAAAATGCAGAGTAAACATGAAACATCATTGAGAAAAAATTTCTTATGCTTGATATAAACATTAATTTTAATGCAGATATCAACAGTTTATTCATTCATTGTAAATATATTGGGTTGTCGGGAAGGTCATGACGTATTCTTTCTATGTTTTTCAAAGGTTATTTATTTATATAAAGGACAAAGATCAATCAATGATATGTTGCCCGTTTTGTTCGATGACCTTTTACCATCTTTCAGTGAGCTTCATAATTCCTCATTCATAGAAGGATCTGTCTTTATCGGCGAAAAACTGAACAAGATGCTGATTTACAACGTTATCCGAATTTAACATTATACCACACAAAGAGTTTTGAAGAGAGCGAAACAAGTAGAAGTCTGACGGTGCAAGATCAGGCGAGTATGATGTGTATAGTAACACATCCCGTCTAAGCTTCAATAATTTCTTACGGGTGATCAAACTTGTGTGTGGTCTCGCGTTATCGTGATGAAATACAATTCCTTTATGATTAACGAGCTCTGGACGTTTCTAGGTGATGGATTCGTTCAAATTCGTCCAATTGCCGACAGTACGTATTCGAATTAATTGTTTGGTTCCTCGGTAGGAGCTCGAAAAAAAAGACACCTTTAAAATCTCACCACACTGAGAACATAATCTTCCTCTGATGAATGTCTGCTTTCGATGTCGTTTGAAGCGAATCATCATGTCAGGACCAAGACCGTTTACGCTCCACATTGTTGTAAACAATCCACTTCTCATCACTTCTCATCAGTTATCATTCGCTTCAAAAAAGGATCGTTTTCCTTACGTTTAATGAGCACATTGCAGATGTTTATATGCTCCGTCAAATAAACTTCTGTGAGTTCATAAAGAACTCAAATATCGAGCTTGCTTCCGTAGCCTAGCTTCTTCAGGTGGTCGTGAACGCTTGAATAATGGATGTTTAATGTTTCTGCAATATCTTGTGTCGTGTAACATGGGTTTGACTCGATCAATGCCTTTATTACGTCGTCATCAACCTCGGTGGGCCTCCTTGACCGAAGAGCGTCGTTGAGATCAAAATCACCATCACGGAATTTCGTGAACCATCGTTGGTACTGACATTCTTGTAGAACATTGTCACTGTTATGTCCTGGAGGAGGAACGCAACTTGACGCTTGCTTTCACAAGCTCCGACGTACTCGCAAGTCTGCGGTGCAGATTAAGAATCGAAATGACCCCTTTATCTGGCGCGGACGTATGTCGGTGGTCCTTTATTTGGGTCAAGGAACTGAATTCCTTTACCTGGAATAGAACCGTGAGCGACAGTTGAAGGAAGGGAGAATTTTTGTTTCGAACAATTAGTTAGAAAACATGATTGGCTTATAATTACAAATAACTTGTTTTATTGATGGTTCGGCGGAAGTTTACAATGGAATAGAATTGGTAAGATTTTATAATATGTATGCATATATATATACAGGGTATTTGATAGCTGATCATGCAGACGAAAGTTGGAGATAGATTGGGTGTAGCCGAAAAGAAAAGTCATGTACCATAATGTCAGATTGCCAGTAGTTATCGAGTTATTAATTAAAACATGTGAGCCAACGAGCGCGTAGAGAGCAGAGGGCGATCGCAGTAAGCACGTAGTCATTTGATACAGGCGGAGTCAGCGAGTGACGGTAGGCGAGCACGCGCGGCGAGAAGCAACGTAAACAACAAGAGGCGAGCGTGCGCGACGAGAAGCGAGCGAGCGCGAACGACGAGGAGCGAGCGAGCGCAAGCGACAAGAGGCGAGCGAGCGCGACGAAGAGCGAGCGAGCGCGAACGACGAGGAGCGAGCGAGCTATAAGGAAAAAGCTATAAACAAAAAGCTCGTTCGCTCCTCGTCGCGCGCGATCGCCTTTTATCGCTTACGTTGCCCCTCGCCGCGCGCGCTTGCCTACTGACACTCACTGACCCCGCTTGTATCAGTTATTGTGAAGCCCGACACCCGTAAGGTGCCGCGCTGTGCTACCTCAGCTATAAAAGCTATACGCTACACACCACATTCCAGCGATTTGTCCTCTACTACTGAAGTGGGCAATGGAAAAATCCAGCAGCACCTGCGTGGATCATACTTCGCAGGATGAGCGGTTTAGTCGCGACGCGCGCGTCGACTCCCGTCAGGGTGTCGCCTCGCGCGCCGCGTCCACGGGGAACCACGGGGAGGCCCGCTCATTTGTGTCCCGAGCCCGGACACACGCTCTGACCCTTGAGTAGGATGGGACTAGAAAGGAATAATATGATACGGTAGGTGGGTTTTAACGGACTGGGTTGTAGAATAGAGTTAATAAAGTGGGTGAAAGATTTTAGAATAGAGAAAAGCGAAAGAAAGGAGAGTAGAAGTGAATCGAAAGTGAAATAGGAAGCCTAGCATGGACTCTTTAGCCAAAGGGATTCCCTACAAAATGCCGCGAACACTGAATAGGCCTCTGGTGTTGACACGAAGTAATGTGCCGCTTCCGGCCATTTCCAGCTTCCGGCCGGAACGAATTGCCGCAGCGCTTCTCTCTGCGGCTCCCCGCTTGTATCAAATGTCTACGTGCTTACTGCGGCCGCCCTCCGCTCTCTACGTGCTCGTTGGCTCACATGTTTTAATTAATAACTCGGTAACTATTGCCAATTGTCATTATGGTACATGACTTTTCTTCTCGGCTACACCCAATCTATCTCCAACTTTCGTCTGCATGATCAGCTATCAAACACACTGTATATATATATATATATGGCATTCTGCAATATTATTAATTATAAAAATTTTATTTCAGGTCTTATAAGAAATGTATACATTCTATCTTACATTCTATATATCAGGTGTAGTAAAAAGAAATCCATTATTTTTGCATGAAATTGAAGGCTTTAATTACCATAGTAGAATGATCCGATTTAGGTCAAATATGCGCCGTTTTGTTAGATAACTTGTTGCCATTTTGACGGTAATTTCATTATGCCTCTCTCATAGAAGCCCTCGTCCCTATTGGCAAAAAATTGAGACAGTCGATTTTTACAAGCCTCTCTTGAAGCGAATTTTTCACCAGCAAAGTTGTCCGCCATGGACAGGAACAGATGGTAATCACTTGGTGCCAGATCCGGATTATAAAGTGGATGCATAAGAACCACCCAACCAAGCTCCCGGAGCTTCTGGCGAGTCACTATCGATGTGTGTGGCCTGGCGTTGTTCTGATGGAACACAATTCCTCTCCTATTGGCCAAAGCTGGCCGCTTCTGGGCGATTGCTTCCTTCAGACGGTCCAATTGTTGACAGTTCCGAGTTAAGAGTTTTGCCGTAGGGGAGCAGCTCATAGTAGATAATTCCCTGCCAATCCCACCAAACACACAGCAAAACCTTCCTGGCCGTCAATCCTGGCTTGGCCACCGTTTCCGCCGGCTCACCGCGATTCGACCACGACCGTTTTCACTTGACGTTGTCGTAAGTGATCCACTTTTCATCACCAGTGACCATCTGCTTCAGAAATGGGTCGATCTTGTTGCGATTTAACAGCGATTCGCAGATGGAAATTCGGTCCATGTGGTTTTTTTTCGTTAACTCGTGTGGCACCCATACATCGAGCTTCTTTTTGTATCCAGCCTTATTCAAATGGTTCCAAACAGTTTTTTGTCCAATCTTTAGCTCTTGGGCAATCGAAACAGTGCTTACATAACGGTCGGACTCGACAATGTCCATGATTTTATCGATATTTTCGACAATTGGTCTTCCAGTGCGTGGTGCATCTTTGACATCGAAATTACCGGAACGGAATCGACGAAACCAAAATTGCGCGTGATTGGCTGTTACAGTATCAGGACCATAAACACTATTCACATTTTCAGCCGCCTGGCTTGCGTTTTCGCCTTTATCGAAGAAAAACTGTAAAATATAGCGTATTTTCTCTTTGCTAGTGTCCATCTTTGACGCGCGCTCAAACAAAACTGAGTCAACTAATCACAAAACTGTCAGAAAAGTTTTTTTAGTACGAAATCTCATCTTTCTAACGCCATCTAGTGGAACCCGATCGGACTTATACAACGCGAGATACAGATAACTAAAGCCATCTATTGGAAAAATAATGGATTTCTTTTTATTACACCTGATATATCAGATAATTGCAATTATATAATTTATTCGAGGAGTGATATGTAGTAAAATATTAATCATATGAGATATTTTCAAGATTAGGCTTCAAATATTCTGCTGGATGTACGCTCTATTTTGTACAATAGAAACAAATCTTTTAATTTCCGGCATGTCACGCAGTGTAAACCATTCATTATCCACACATCCTAATAGAATAACCTAGAATAACCTAACTTAACCTAACCTAATCTAATATACCTGTGAGGCAGTGATGCGCTCAGTAAGTGACGTCAGAGCCTCTACGCATGCGCATAGAGCTACGCGAGCGACCAAATCGAACCTGTGCGCATCAATGGTACTGCGCATGCGCCAAAAATCAACTCAGCGCATCACTGTGTGAGAGTGCGAAGTTCCAATGCGCATTTATTCCGATGTACTGATCGACAGTTATTTCTATCTTTTGGGTTGAAATATTATACCATTTTGATTGAGAGATTAATACAAAGATTATATTATGAATGGTAAGAGTTATATTAATTTATTCATTTGACGTATAATGATGTTATGAGTTACAACAAATTTATGTTATTTTACTGAAGTTAAACCTTAAACCAATGATAGTAAAGGACGTTTTGTCTATATTAGAGAGTTTTTACAATAGCGTTTGTTAGATACGGTAAGCGCAAAAGACGAATCAGCGTTCATCGTGTGAACGTTGTACATGTAACGATGAACGTTGATTCGTCTTTCATATTTACCATATCTGAAGAGCGCTATTGCAAAAACTCCCTATTTATAAAGATATATTTATTACGTTCTGTCAGTCATTATTGTATATATAATACAAAATTATCTCTCAAATGGAACATAACCTCTACTAGATATCCATTAGATGTAGGTATTTTATGGACATCTAATAGATGTGTTCCGTGTCGAAGCCATTCCAT